GCCGGCTTTGTCTACCCCTGTTCCGATATGCGCCACCTGTATTTCGGGCAGCCTGTTCAGCGAGCCCAAGAATATTCGGCGGAACACCATCGGAATAGAAGCTGGGCGAAACTGGCATCCAAATGCCGCGTTTTCGTCCTTGATCCAAGTATAACCGGAATTTTCCAGCAGTCGTGTTTCGCTCGAATTCAGTGGCGGACCAAGTGATTGGTTCACCACCTGAACCTCCTGAAACTAAACCTGCTGGTAAAAGCGGAACCGAAAGACAACTGGAGTCAAAATCAAAGACCTCAAGGGCTTTTTGTGCCACTTGGGTCGATGATTTGTTTGATTGTTGTCGTTGTCGTTGATAATCCATATTGGAAGATAATGTTTGATAATGTTTAACGCAGAAGAGAAGAGATGCTAACTGTTCAATTTCGGTGATATAAACTGTATAAAACACATCTATTTATACTATTTTAATCCTCTCTTCTTCTCTGTGTAGAAAAAGAATTCTCTCTCTATCTCTAGAGAAAAAGAAAACTCTCTCTTTATTCCATTGTAGAAGGCATCGATCAAGATTTCGAGGTGTTTTTTCGAAACTGTCAAATTTTCCAGGTACTTTTTCACAATCTGAAATATTTTCTAGAGTTTATAAGTCGTCGAGGTCCTTGCAACTGCCCTGGACTCTCACGATCAATGTAAACGTCTTGTATCAATGCAAAATGCATGTAGTAATGCAAAATCAATGCAAAAGGTATGATGTAATGCAAAATCAATGCAAAATTCGCCGTGGCGGTGTGAGTCGAGTGATGGTGGTGGTGGATGGCTGAGGCCATTTAAACGCCACCCACATTTCATCTCAGCTTCTTTACATCTGTTATGGTGCTAAATAACACCTTAGAAACTCTTTTTCGGGTTTCTTTCTTACTAAGCGTTTCTGCAAACTAGGCGCATTTCGGTAGCCTACCATGGGAGTGCTCCCACTGAGTGGTGTTTCCGAAAAGTATGCTCGCCATAGTCGGTGGAGGTGGGATGCAAACTTATCCATCCCTTCAGAGTAAGTGAAGTGGAACAGCAAAGTCTTTTCATAATCAATCTGAGCTATATTCAGATGTTTCGATCTGTTGTTAAAGAATTTGTTTAGTACCACCTCCCGGCTGAGCTCATAATTGGCTGCTGTGAGGGGCTGTATTTGCAAATCCCTAACGGCTCGATCAAACTGTTTTTGAATGAAGTTATCTTTATATTCATTAAGGTATAAAGCCATCTGTATATGCGCTTTTTCCTTCGTATATAGCGAAAAAGTTGAACTGTACCTAATGGCTCGAATTAGAGCTGCAAAAGGTATGTTCCTTTTTATGTGAAAGGGGTGTATACTTGAGAAAGGCAAATAGTACGGTTCGTGCGAAGGTTTATGAAAAACACTAGTCACTAGAGTCTCATGACTATTTTCGATACTTATATCTAGAAACTCTACCTTCTTACTGATATCCCCAGTCAATTTTATATTTTCCGGATCCAGCCGATTCCAGTGCACCAGCCATTCCTGAATCTGAGATTCAGTGGCTTTACATGCAATAAAAATATCATCGATGTACCGGAAATATAGCCCTTTTTTGATGGCAACTATTGTTTTCTGAATTGGCCTTTCAAAAAAGTACATGTATACATTCGCAATGGTGAGAGTAAACGGAGAACCCATGGCTCGTCCGCGAGTCTGATGATAATACAGTTTATCGTAAGCGAAATAATTATTCTCTAATACAAATTTGGCCATTTTCAGTATTATTTCAATTATTATGCCTGCAATTTGGGTGAGTTTAGCTTGGTTGAGGATTCGTTCGATTGCCTTAAACCCAAGCTCCCTTACACCCAAGCTTGACGATCCCTTTGCCATCGTATCGAATAACGGGCGAAGGTGTCTATCCAGAAACGGGGGCAGGTGTCTATCCGAAAGCGGGGCATTTGGATGCCAGTTTCGCTCAGCTTCTATTCCGACGGTGTTCCGCCGAATATTCTTGGGCTCGCTGAACAGGCTGCCCGAAATACAGGTGGCGCATATCGGAACAGGGGTAGACACAGCCGGCACAATCCTTATCAGGGTCCTCTTCCGGATGATAGACGATGTGGTAACCGAGCTTTTACCAGCTCGAGTCACCCACGACTTGAAGGAATGAGACCCCCAGATCGATTGGTCAGCCAAGGTTACGGTATTGCCAATGAAGGCAACCAACACCACTACACGTACCATCGGCATACTAGGCCAGCGGGTGATCAGGAAACCCTTGGTGACAAAAGACCGGCATCGATAACACCACCGGCAATCAAGGTGGGGAAATTTCTCTTGTCAGAGAAAGCAGATGCGTGTGCAGGGGTCAAACAGACAACTGCCCCTCTAACGAAACCAACCACCACCCAGTCATCCATCACCATCACCAAATTGTCGACACCGCAGTTAAGTGATTCGACAAAACGTCGTTTAAGGCGAGAAAGAGCGCAGGCGGCCGCGTACCAACAACAATCATAGTCAACAGGCCCCCACTCTCGCGAACAACGCAGGATAGAGAGTGAAGGTGATGGGAACGCAGACGAACCAATAATTACCAAAATCGTCGTCGCTTCAATCTCCCGACAAGGAAATGACACAGACGAAGCGTCTTCCGACGACGAAGTATACCCGGACCGGCAACCGCAACAACTTGTCGTAAAAATGACAAGTATGACAGTCCACGACGGCGACGACGATGTCACCAATACAAACAGTGGCGATACGGCTGTTAGCCACATACTTCCAGCGGAAACAGTGGCGCCCCGCGTAGCCTAGTCAACACCACATGTCACCACGAAAGATCCGTGGGTGTGCATGTTTTTTATTGCTTTCGGCATAGGGCCCGTTCGGTTGGATCTTCCCCTTTTCAGGGGTTTCTTTTCTTTTTTTCTTTTCCTTTTTTTATCTTGTGCTTGTTTGTTGTATATTTTTCTTTTTTGTTCTTCAGATTTTTATTGCTGATGAGCTTTATTTTTAAAATAAAGCGAAACGCGTCCAACATTAATTTATCTGCACTTGAACAAGCATTTATACAAACAAGCTTTTAAGCCAAAAGAGCG